TTAACAAGCCAGTCTTGCAAAGCATTATTTTCATTACTGAAAATGAACTTACAGTATTCATATACAATTTTTATAGTTTTAAGTTTCATATTTAAAGATTAATCATGTCTAGGACAAGATAAAATCATTTCTGAGGGAAGCCCCGTTGTGACTCCTTGAAGCTATCTCGCCGAGATGACTCCAACTACAAAGTCACACAGGTCGTGGAGTTCTGCTTGGCCTACTGGGGACCAGAGCCAGAACCTGGTCTCCCTCCTCACAGAAGCAGAGAGAGCAAGTGAAACTCCACCACCACACCAGGAAAGCATCCACAAAGTCACCGAACCCAAACAGACCTCTGTTGGGATCAAGAGACCGAAGTCTTGAAACTGCCAAACGAACTCCCACAATTTAAACAAATGATTGAATCTCTCTAAAAAACACAAACTCATTAGTGCTAAAACCCCCCCCTACTAGTGGGGAGGGGAGATCTGGAGTTTAAAGACCCTCCCTGAGCCCTTCGAGCCAGTTCTGTCACTATTATGGACATCATCAGATGTCCAGTGTTGGGTTCCTAGGTTGTTAACCAGCTGCACAAGTCCTGCTGCTTCTAAGCCAAATACCGGCCATCCTTGGACATGGTCCTTCGGGAGCCATTTGCTTGGCGTTATTCTATATTATAGTTAGCTTCACGAGTGTATTTTCTGTCCAGTTTGTGTTGAGGACCTGGCTCATATGGTGGTTGGAGCTTCATGTGTTCAGGGCTCTCTTCCCTAGATGTTCCCTAGCATTGACAGTTCTATTTTGACGGGGCAGGGTGTGGCTTTGGGTTGTTCTTTTTTTCTCAAATTCCGAACTTATGCCACTGCTGCGGCAATTGGGTTCAGGCCCCAGTTGCCCTTCGTTGGCTGCTGCACCACCAGTTACCTCGCAAGGTTTTTTGTGAGTTTGGTTCCTTTGCATCTTCTTTCACCATTGCTCAACATGTTTACAAACACATCGGTTCTGGGCTGGAGTTTTCTAATCAGTGCTCACCAAGCTGCCCAGGGTTATTGGTTGGATTTATTATGTCAGACACGCAGTATGGTGTGCGAGCTTTTAGTCGTGTGGCATGCCCTGATGCTTATTTGTATTTCTCCTGGCTCTGTGCTCTGGTTTCATCTAGACTGTTCCCTGGTGGTTCATTACCTGAACCAGTGGGGGTTTCCATCGGTTCATTGCCCTTTGGAGCTGGATGCTGCCGTTAGTTCATCTGGTGGATTTTGGGGGGGGGGGTTTATTTTCCACCATTCATGAGTGGACTCTCAATCTCTGCCTTCTTCCAGTAGCTTCACGAGATATTCTGGTACTCTGATGTAAATCTCCTTGCATTGGCTTAGAATCAGTGTCATCCTCTCTATGTGACTCCATTCTCAATCACGAGACCCTCACAGTAGATGGCTTTCGGTGGGGCATCCACAGTGGGGGGGTTTCTTTACCTCTTTACCCCAGTCCAGCTGCTACTCCAGGTTCTGGACAGGTTGGAGTCCTACCAGGGAAAGGTGGTCCTTCTGGCTCCTTGATGACTGGCTCAGTCTTTGTTTCAGACTACTTGCACAGTGTCCAAACCCTGGCATTTTTCCATGTCTCTGTCTCTTTCGGAAGGTCAGCTGGTGACGCACCTCTCGGCTTCAGACATCTCCTCAGATCTTCAAGTCTTCATCGCCATCTCTATGGCAAGTAAGCAGGTAAATTGATAGTGTCCTACCTGCATTTGTCTTCCAACCAGCAATATGAAGTAGCTTGGTACTCTTTTTGCTCCTTCCTGACCATTCGTCATTATTCTTCTATCCTCGTTCATTTTGTCCTTTCATTCCTATCTTGGTTTTTTCTTGTCCAGCATCTTACACCTAATACTGTCATCTCACATCGTACAGTACTGCTTGTGTTTGGCATCAATACTACCTCGGTGCCATTTTGGAAGCTGTCTTGTGCATTATTTCACCTCTGGCCTGCTCACAGCATGTGCTACCTGAGCCCTCCTGGTCTCGGGACCATGTCCTCACCTTTCTTCTCCTCAGTTTATGGTTTACCCTTTCAGTCTATGAGTCCTTTTCTAAGAAAAAGAATGAGTCACCAGGCTTCTGAAGGGGTTGTTTGGTTATTGATGCTTGGTTAGGCTGGGGGTGCGTCATATACTGTGCCCAGTAGTGGCTCTTCACTGCTACCTTCATGCCACCAATTCTACCTCTGTGGATGCTTTGTGGGTTGATTCTGCTTCATTGGTTCTCTGTTCGCAGGCTCGTATTTCTCTGGTTGTCCACAGTGTCATTATGTCCTGCTAGCCTACAGTTTACCCTCATGACCCTTGATGTTTGTAAATATGCTACTCTTGCAGGGGTCTTTAGTAAAATGTCCTGGGCTGATATTTGGGTGTGTGGGTGTTGGTATTCTAACAGGGAAGTCTTGGCGGCCCAGTATTTGATTAATGTTCTTGAGACTCAGAATGCTGGTGCTCTCTCCTCCTCCCTATTAAGTCCCTGTTTTTCATATCCATGGGTAGAGCCACAAGGGGCTCCTCCAGAAAACAAACATTGAATATAATGAAACGTCTTTTTCTGGATAAGCCCCAGTGGCTCCCCGATTCCCTACCTTCCTTCCTGGTGTGTCGGTTAGTAGGTGCCATTTTCATATTTGCTCCAAAACAAGCTTGAAGGGCTAGGGCTGACCTGGAGCTTTGCCACTCCCACTCCATTGGTGAGGGATTAGTGCTAATGACCTTGTGCTTGTTTCAAGAGATTCGATCATTTGTTTACGTTGTTTGGGGAGTTCATTTGACAGTTTCAAAGCTTCGGTCTCTTTGAACCCAGCAGTTAGCCTGACCTCACAAACAAAGGCCAAAGTCCATTCCATGCACCCGCCAAACCCCCCCCCCATTGTTCATGAATGAAAAACGGTTTACACACGACTCAAAACTGATGGCGTCGGGAACACTTCCGAAACAAGTGCTTCGCTGACGACTTTTGTTCGAACCACAAAGCTGTAAATGCTTCACCCAAGTAATGCAAATGCAAATAATTGCCAACATAACCTAAACACCTAATCTAACCAATGCCTAAATGTGCACATATGCTAATCTATATAAATTAAAATGGAAATGTTCGTTTGTGCATAATCGCTAATCTCCGAAAATTCTTCACCAATTGCTTTGAAATTTTCACCCAACATTCCAATCGCATCTGCGCAGGTTTTTATATACATATTATATAGATGTCACATCTGTGACGGTAAAAAACATGCTTTTTCTGAAAAACTGTGTTTTTCATGTGAGGGAAATCTTCGAAACCTCTTTACCGATTTCTTTGAAATTTTGACACAACGTTGCATTCGAATAGGCGCATCTTTTTATATATCTACTCTATACATGCCTCACCTGTGAGAGGAAAAAAACATGCTTTTTTTTAAAAACAGCGCCATCTGTTGGACATAAGAGCAACACACTCTGTAATCACTGAAAGTTTTCACCTATTGCTTTGAAATTTGGACACAACGTTCCATTCGAATACACGGATGTTTTTATATACCTACACTATAGATGCCACACCTGCGACAGGTAAAAACATGTGTTTTTGAAAAACAGCACCATCTGTTGCATATAATAGCAACATGCATGCTATACTAAATATGTCCCGAATTCCATTTCAATGTTTCCAATTGCATTGATAAATTTTATTTTCACAGATTTCGATTTATTTTATTTTTTATTGAAATATTTTGTATGACACTATTGGAATTGAGCTGTGTTGTTTACCATACCATTCATTTCGTAAGTATAAGTATAGATGTCACACCTGTGACAGATAAAACTATGCTTTTCTTGAAAAACAATGCCATCTGTTGCATGTAAGAACAACACACACATGCTATACTAAATATGTTACAATTCAATTTCAATGTTTCTGATTGCATTGATAAATTGAATTTCATACATTTTGATTTATTTTCATTTTGATTTAATTATTTTGTGTGAATTGCATTGGAATTGAGCTGTGTTGTTTACCATACCGTTCATGTCGTTAGTATAGTTTTTCTTATATATATTTTCATATCATTTTTTAACTGTTTTTCTTATATTTCAGTGATGGGAACATCAGATCACTTGATGTTCCCAATTTTCGAATGGGAACATCAGACCCTTTGGGAAGGCATCGGACAAGGGAGTGGGGAATGTTGGGGGTGAAGAGGGAACGGAAGTGAGAGATGGAGGGGAGAACAAGGGGATAAGGGAGGGGGCAATGGTGTGGAAGGACGAGGGGACGGGGTAGTTTGGGATGGTGGGGACGAAGGGATGAGGGAATCGAGAATGGTGGGGAGGACAAAGGGACAGGGGAGTGGGGCATGGTTCGAAGGAAGAGGGGATGGTGGAGTGGGGAATGGTGGGGAGGACCAGGGGACGATGGAGTGGGGAATGGCTGGGAGGCCGAGGAGACGGGTGAGGGGGAAATGGTGGGGAGGACTGGGGGACAGGGACCGTTGCTGTGGCTCAGCAATGCACATGCACTGCTGAGCCACAGCAAAGTGTGGCCAGGTACTGCTAGTATATAATAATATTAATTTGTATTTGAGAAAATTCCTGTTTATGAACAGTATGTTGAAATTATGAAGTCTTTGGGGTCGACCTATGGATGGAATGGACTTGGTTTGAAGACAGGTTGCAGCAGTGGTCTGTTCTGGTTCACTGACTTTCTGGAACCTTTCCCATGGGAGGGGGAGGGGTGGACTAGGTTTTGGTCCACACTCCACCACTTCTGTGAGCCTCTGTGAGGGGGTTCCAGGTATTGGCTTTGATCCCCAGTAGGCCATACAGAACTCCATAGCTTTGGTGACCTAGTAGTTGGGAGTGAAATAGCTTTAGGGAGCCACCCGAGTTCAGTCAGAAAAAGGAGTTTCGTTACATTCAACACTGGAATTTTGCCTATTGCAAAATACTGCATCTGAAACCACTATGTGATTATGAAATTTAAGAGTTAATGTTCCCTCACCTGAGTAACCTGGAGAGCATTTACAGACATATTCCATTTCTCCTTGGGGCACAATACACACCCCATGGCGACAGTCATGATGCAGGCATGGCTCTGTTTGAAGTAAAACAGAGGGGCCCAACTCACAGTAGCGACCACTCCAGTCACCTGAACACTTGCATTCAAAATCTCCAACTCCATCAATGCACTGCCCACCATTCTTTCAAAAAAATAAAATGAATTGTCAGAAACAATGAAAACTGCATACAAAAACACTTTAACATGCTTTTTTGTGTGTAGTTAATACAAATTATTTATTGTGCAGTATATCAAATATCTCATGACTTTATTATTGACATTCTTTAAATTTATAATAATTTGTGTGTAATTTACCTGGCACATATGATTGACACAATCATCTATGTTCTCAGTGCAGTTGTTACCAGACCATCCAAGGTTACACTGGCACTCATAGCTTGTCCCGTGGTCAATACAACTAGCACCATTTTTGCAAGGGTTAAACTCTTTGGAACAAAATGCAATCTTTTTTTCACAGTATTCCCCAGTATAACCAGCTGGACAAGAACAGGAATACGAGGTTATACCATCTATGCAGCTAGCACCATTAATGCACTTGTTGTTAGAGCAGTCATCAATGTTAACTTCACATCGACCACCCTCAAACCCAGTGGGACAGTGGCATCTGTGTATGATGTAAAACTTTATTAAAATAGATGAAATAACTTTAGTATTGAAACAAATTAATTAAGATTTATGCTTATTCCTCACATTACAGTATGTATTTTAATAAATAAAATTAAAAACTTACACATATCTTCCTGTTT